ATAAAAGGCAAATTATAAATTTTAATGTATTAATATAAAAATTTTAATCAATTAATTTAAATAAAGCTGCCATTAATTTAACTTTTAAAATTTGAATTAAATATTTTACCTATTTTGACCAATATGAAACTTTTAATAATGCCAGCATGTATATCTACCTAGTACCAAATCATTTTCATGTTTTGTGTATGTTACTTCTAGACTGCAATGTATTCAAATTTAAAGTAACATGAATTAATACTGCAAACGTTCCTCAATCACCATGTGCAACTGTTGTGTATACAGTGCTCCTTATTTACTACTGTGGGAACCACACATTAGAACTTGAAGAGACGACAACAAAAATCAACCCAATTTAAAAATGGGCAAAGAAGTTGATTAGACATTTCTCCAAAGATGATATATAAATAGCTAACAAGCATTTGCAAATATGCTCAACATTACTAATCATCAGAGAAATGCAAATCAGAACCACAAAGAGATATCACCTCACACCCGTTCGGATTGCCAATGTAAAAAGTAAAATAAAAGCAGAAGTGTTTGGAAGGAGGTAGAGAAATTGGAACCATTGTGGACTGTTAGTGGGACTATAAAATGGTGCAACCATTATGAAAAACAGCTTCCTCAAAAATTAAAAATAGAACTACCATATGATCCAGCAATCTCACTTCTGGGTATACATCCAAAAGGATTTAAAGCAGGATCTCAAAGAGATATCTGCACACCCATGATCATAGCAGCAGTAGTCACAATACCAAGAGGAAGAAGTGACCCACATGTCTATCAATGGACGAATGCATGAACAAAACGTGGTATACACATACAATGGAATATTGTTCATCTTTAAAAAGGAATGAGGTCAGGCACAGTTGCTCATGCCTGTGATCCCAGCAATTTGGGAAGCCGAGGCAGGAGGATTGCTTGAGCTCAGGAGTTTGAGACGAACCTAGGCAACATGGCGAAACCCTGTCTCCACAAAAAATACAAAAATTAGCCAGGCCTGGTGGCACATGCCTGTAGTTCCAGCTATTCGGGAGGCTGAAGCAAGAGGATCGCTTGAGCCCAGGTGGCAGAGGTTACCGTGAGCCGGGATCACACCACTGCACTCCAGCCTGGATGACAGATTGAGACCTCATCTTGAAAAAAAAAAAAATCCTGTCACGTGCTACAGCATGGATGAACCTTGAGGACATCATGCTTAGTAAAATAAGCCAGTCACAAAAAGACAAATGCTGTATGATTCTACTTATATAAGGTTCTAAAGTAGTTGAATGTATTTTAAAAAAGAAAGTAGAATGGTGATTACCAGGGACTGAGGGCAAGGAGAAAGGAAAGTTGTTATTTAATGGGTACTGAGTTTCAGATTTGCAAAATGAAAAAATTCTGGAGATCTGTTTCACAACAATGTGAATATATTTAACGTATTGAATTGAACACTTAAAAATGGTAAATAGTGAATTTTACATGTGTTTTTTACCACAATTTTTAAAACCAGTATATATCTATTTTTTTCCTCTAAATAGTTACAGTCAGTAGTCAGCCCTTTGAGGTTTGGGAAAAACACTATATATATGGCCAAAAAGATACACATTGAGAAATATAAAAATAAAATGATCTCAGTAGAATAGAAGTAAGGGTGAACTTCCTCAACTTGCTGAAGAACAGCTACGAAAAGCCTACAGCTAACATCAATGGTGAGAACATCTAAGATTTCCCAGTAAGGTCAGGAATAAGGCAAGGATGTCTCCTCTCACCACTGATTTCCAACATTGTACTGGAAGTCCTAGTTAAAGCAATAAGACAAGAAAAGGAAATCAAAACTATATGGATTGGGAAAAAATAAAGAAAACTTTTTTTTCACAGATGCCATGAACATTTATGTAGAAAATCCAAAATAACTCACACAAAAAGCCCTCCCAGAACTAATAAGTGATTATAGCCATGTTGAAGAGTACAAAATTAAATAAACAAAAATCATTTTCTTTCCTTTATACCTGCAATGATCAAGTGGATTTCAGAATTTAAGATACATTGACATTTATATTAGCACCCCCCCAACCAAAAAAAAATTCTTAGGTATGAGTCTAGCCAAGTATGTGCAAGATCTATATGAGGAAAAGCACAAAACTCTCATGAAAGAAATAGAAGAAATAAGCAGAGAGATAGTCCATGAGATTGTCAAGATGTCAATTCTTCCCAACTTGATCTATAGATTTAATGGAGCTGCAGGCTATTTTGTAGATATTAACAAACTGAATCTAAAATTTATACAGAAAGGCAAAAGACTCAGAATAGCCAACTCAATATTGAAGAAGAACAAATTTTGAAGACTGACACTCCCCAACTTCAAGACTTCCTATCAAAGCTACAGTAATTAAGACAATGTGATATTGATAAAAGGATAGACAAATCAGTGGAACAGAGTAGAGAACCCACATATAGACCCACATAAATGTATTTTACTAATCTTTGACAAAGGGGCAAGAGCAATATAATAGGGCAAAGATCGTCTTTTGAATAAAATGGTGCTGGAATGACAGAATATCCACAGGCAAAAAGATGAACTAAACACAAACCTTACACTCTTTATGATAATTGATTTAAAAATGGATCATAGAACTAAATGTAATATGCAAAACTATAAAATTCTTAGAAGGATTGCTTGAGCCTAGGAGGCTGAGGCTGCTGTGAGCCATTATTGCGACATTGCACTCCAGCCTGGACAACACAGCAAGACACTCTTAAAAAAAAAAAAAGGAAAAAATAGAAAACAGAGGAGAAAATAATTTGGAGTATGGAAATAACTTTTTAGATACAGCACCAAAGACATAATCTATGAAAGAACTAGTTAAGAAACTATACCTCATTAAAATTAAAAACCTGCTCTGCAAAAGACAAGGTCAAGAGAATGAGAAGACAAGCCATAAACTGGGAGAAAATATTTGCAAAAGAGACATCGGATAAAGGACTGTTATCCAAAAATATACCAAAAAATTCTTAAAATTCAGCAATAAGAAAACAACCCAATTAAAAATGGGCAAAAACAATCAATGATAGACTAGGTAAAGAAAATGTGGTACATATACACCATGGAATACTACGCAGCCATAAAAAGGAATGCGATCATGTCCTTTGCAGGGACATGGATGAAGCCTGAAGCCATTATCCTTAGCAAACTAACACAGGAACAGAAAACCAGACAACACATATTCTCACTCATAAGTGGAGTTGAACAATGAGAACACATGGACACAGGGAGGGGAACAATACACACCAGAACCAGTCGGGGGGTAGGGAAGAAGAAGAGGGAGACCATTAGGACAAATAGCTAATGCATACTTGGCTTAAAAACCTAGATGACAGGTTGATAGGTGCAACAAACTACCATGGCACACATATGCCTATGTAACAAACCTACACTTTCTGCACACATATCCCGGAACTTAAAGTAAAAAAATTAATTAATTTAATTTTTTTTAATGGGCAAAAACCTTGAACAAACATCTCACCAAATAAGATATGCAGATGATAAGTAAATATATGAAAAGATGTTACCATCATACGTCATTAGGGGAATGAAATTAAAACAACAGTGATATGCAACTAGCGCCTATTAGAATGGCCAAAATCCAAAACCTTGACACAACATGCTGATTAGGATGTGGAGCTGTTGTTCCACAATGAACTCTCATTCATTGCTGGTGGGGATACAAAATGATACAGTCACTTTAGAAGATAGTTTTGCAGTTTCTTATAAAACTAAACATAGTCTTATCATACAATCTAGTTGCACCCCTTGGTATTTACTCAAAGGAACTAAAAACTACCGTCTGCACAAAAACCTGTACATGGATGTTTCTAGCGCCTTTATCCATAATTGTCAAAAACTAGAAAAAAACAAGATGTTCATCAAAAGGTGGGTGGATAAATTGTGGTATACGCAGAAAATGGAAAACAATTTAGGCCACTGCAACACAGAGAAAGTAAAAAGATAAAAAATATAAATTAATAATTCAAGAGACTAGACAATAACCTGAAATAAAGTTAAGCATAGGATAGATCTATATTTCAGGCCATCTCTCCTCCTGTAAAATGTGGAAAACCAGATTTATGGACTAAGTTCTGCCTCCAAGAGGATCTCCCTTCACCACTACCTTTCAGAGCCGTAACTGTATTAGACTATAATGATTATTCCAGAATAAAATGCAGACCTATCCAAAGAAGAAGAGAGGGAGAGGAAGAGGAGGAGGAGGAGAAAGAATGAAAAAGAAGAAGGAGGAGAAGGAGGAGGGGAGAAGAAGAGGAAGAGGGGAGAGGAGGAGGAGGAGGAGGAAGAGGAATAAAGGAGAACAACTTGAAAAGAAGCAGGCAGTGAATTCCTGTCCATTGGGATCTGACACTGTGTGATGCAGGAATCCATCATATTCATGCTATGGGAAGGGAAGCATGACCATGATGGATTCCTTTTATTTCTTTCTCCGTCCTTGGCATTTTCACTACTGAAATTCTTCCTGCACTCTGAAGCACTCTGTCTCTGACCTAGACCTCAGTTCTACCCGCACCTTCAAGGCCTTCAGTCTCAATAGCAATGAGATCTGAGCTTCTGTGGCACGAGATGGGCAGAAGTTCCTCTTTGAGGCATGAGCAGTGTGTCTGCACAGCAGTTGTTGAGAGTTATGAGTCCTGAGTGACTGAAGCTCTCATGCGTTCTTTAATAAATGCTGTGTGCACATGTGTGTGTGTGTGTTATGTGTGTGTGTGTGTGTGTGTGTGTGTGTGTGTGTGTGTGTGTGTGTGTGTGATGTGTGAGGCCTGGAGCAGGAACCCCTTTCTTTGACCAGGTCTGAGGTAACGACTGTAAAGGGCCTTGGTGAGTTTTCCCACCAAGTGTGAGAGGGTGTTTTATTGTTGTAGAGATGGACCAAATACAGCAGTCCTTTCTTTTCCATGTTTTGTTTTGTTTTGTTTTGTTTTGTTTTGTTTTGTTTTGTTTTGTTTTGTTTTTTGGCTGAGCACAGGGGATTTTATTGATGGTACACGACAAGGTGGGGCTCCCTAGGCCCCTCCCCTTCTTCAAGGGGTCTACATGGAAACTGTGAGGGGAGATTCACTGTGGCAGAGGACTGAGTGTGGCAGGGACTCCCCAGCAGTGAGGGCCTCTCTCTTTCTCTTGTGCTCTCGCTGGGGCTGGTGGTCCAGGGGTCTTACTCCTTGGAGGCCATGTGGGCCACAAGGCCCACCACCCTGTTGGTGTAGCCAAATTCGTTGTCATACCAGGAAATGAGCTTGACAAAGTGGTCGTTGAGGGCAGTGCCAGCCCCAGCGTCGAAGGTGGAAGAGTAGGTGTCGCTATTGAAGTCGGAGGAGACCACCTGGTGCTCAGTGTAGCCCAGGATGCCCTTGAGGGGGCCCTCCGACGCCTGCTTCACCACCTTCTTGATGTCATCATATTTGGCAGGTTTTTCCAGATGGCAGGTCAGGTCCACCACTGACACGTTGGCAGTGGGGACACGGAAGTCCATGGCAGTGAGCTTCCCGTTCAGCTCAGGGATGACCTTGCCCACAGCCTTGGCAGCGCCAGTAGAGGCAGGGATGATGTTCTGGAGAGCTCCGCGGCCATCACACCACAGTTTCCCGGAGGGGCCATCTACAGTCTTCTGGGTGGCAGTGATGGCGTGGACTGTGGTCATGAGTCCTTCCACGATACCAAAGCTGTCATGGATGACCTTGGCCAGGGGTGCTAAGCAGTTGGTGGTGCAGGAGGCGTTGCTGACAATCTTGAGGCTGTTGTCATACTTCTCATGGTTCACACCCATGACGAACATGGGGGCGTCAGCAGAGGGGGCAGAGATGATGACCCTTTTGGCTCCCCCCTGCAAATGAGCCCCAGCCTTCTCCGTGGTGGTGAAGACGCCAGTGGACTCCACGACGTACTCAGCGCCAGCATTGCCCCACTTGATTTTGGAGGGATCTCGCTTCTGGAAGATGGTGATGGGGCTTCCATTGATGACGAGCTTCCCGTTCTCAGCCTTCACGGTGCCATGGAACTTGCCATGGGTGGAATCATACTGGAACATGTAAACCATGTAGTTGAGATCAATGAAGCAGTCATTGATGGCAACAATATCCACTTTACCAGAGTTAAAAGCAGCCCTGGTGACCAGGCGCCCAATAGGACCAAATCCGTTGACTCCGACCTTCACCTTCCCCATGGTGTCTCAGGGATGCGCTGGCCATGCAAGAGAAAATGCAGCTGACTCTCGAACAGGAGGAGCAGAGAGCCTTTCCATGGTTGATTTCTATGATTTCAGTTACTCGCAGTCAACAGCTGTCCAAAAATATGAACATATTTTTAGAAGGAGATAATAAGGGAGACTATATTCACATAACTTTTATTACAGCATATTGTTATAATTGTTCTATTTTAGTAGTAGTTATTGTTGTTGATTTCTTACCTCTCCTAACTTATGAGTTAAACTTTATCATAGGTGTGTAGTATAGCAGGTCCTCAAATAATGTCGTTTCATTCAACGTTGTTTCATTGTAAAGCTGTTGAGAAAAAAATTGATTCGGTGCCAGGGCCACTGTCTGTGTGGAGTCGCACATTCTCTCCATGTCTGTGTGGGTTTTCTCTGGGTACTCTGATTTTCTCCCACACCCCAAAGATGTGCACCTTGGGTTCATTGATGTGTCTACATTGTCCCCATGTGAGTGAGTGTGAGGGTGTGTGTGAGGGTGCCCTGCGATGGGATGTCATCCTGGCCAGGGCTGGTTCCCACTTTACATCCTGAGCTTCAGAAAAAGGCTTAAGCCACCTGCAGGTAAGTGGGTAGGTAAAAGAATGAGTGAATGAACACAAACTATTGTAAAATTTTTAAAAAGTAGACAATAATCATACAAATGCATGACAATAAACTATGCAATACAAAATTACTCAGCAAACTGGCAGTATTTATGATTGTTTCTGAACCGTGTGGTGGTATGGGGTATTCCTTACAATTTTCTCTTTGTAAATATTTATTCCTTGTTTTAACCTACCAGGCTACAACTGCTGTCACTCACTGACTTATCAAAAATTAGGTAAGTCATGATCTTATTTTTATTACTTTATTAAATGTATATATAGCTCATATTTATTCCAGTGTTTAATGTTAAAAGTATTTTGGTCTTTATTGAGAAGTTTGGTGATGTTTTTGTAACCAGAAATCTGCCCTAGAAATTTAACCCTTGTTTATATCAATTAGCTCTATGGTAAAATTGGTTTTACTATATTGGTTTCATTATATTTTGCTAACATCCCAGTTTCCAAGAACCCACTGATGACACTAAGTGAGGACTTATTGGACAGTAAAAAACATAGCACACACAGGGTTAGGTACTATCCAAGGTTTCAGGTACCCATGGAGCTTGTTGGAATGTATTCTTCACAGATTTGAGGGGAGGCTATTGTCCTGCCAGGAATGAGGTGGGAGGTGGGGCATTGAGGGTATTGTGCTGTCACACTCTGCTGACTCGTTTTGAAGTATGGCTTCCCCCACCCAAAGAACCAAGGCAGAAAAAAAAAGAAAAACAAACAAACAAAAAAAGAAAATCAACTCAAACAGCCATGGTCTGGTTATTTTTGTGGATCTCCCAGATCCACAAAATGTTTTTTTTTTCCCTCCCCTAGTTTTGTTTCCCTCCCCTAGTGGTCTGTCTTTGGGTGTCTCTCCTCTCCCAGGCTCTCAATGAAATGTCAAAGCCATGTTGAGGAACTCCAGTGAAGGTTGGGATTATCTGTGGTTCCCATTAGCTACACATCAGTAGCTCCTGTCACTACAAATAAGAAAGAGTCAGCTGCACCTGAACGATTAATGAGTTGACTCTTCAGGAAAGAAAACGAATGATGTCAAGATTAAATGAGAAAAAAAATCAATGGATGTGTAAATCCTGTTTTAACCAGGCTGTCTTCCTCTGAAGCACTAAGGCCTCAGAGGAACTGGCTGGACCTACACTCACCGTTCCTGTCTCCTGTCCGCCTGTCCTCTGGAGCCATTCTCCAAGGAGCCAAATTAGACCAGGGTATAGGACTCCCTGTCCCAGCCACAGAAACTATGACCCTGGGGAACTGATTCTAATGTTCCAATGTGACCTAGGAGGGCCCCTGCTGAGACCAGGGTAAAGACCTATGTTGGGTGGTTGGGTGTTGGATTCTGCAACCACCTGTTTCTCTCTTTCTCTCTCTCTCTCTCTCTCTCTCTCTCTCTGTCTCCTTTCGAGATCATGAGTTATAGAATGTGTCCAGGCTAGAGAGATAAATCAAGCAGAGAAGAGACAACCAATAGCATTGTCAAATCAATTTTATTACCTGTCTTCTGTCAGCCTGCAGGGAAACCCAGAAGGCTATATTAGTCTGTTCTTACACTACTAGAAAGTACTGCCCAAGACTGGATAATTTATAAAGAAAAGAGGTTTAATTGACTCACAGTTCCACATGGCTGGGAAGGCCTCAGGAAACTTACAATCATGGTGGAAGGGGAAGCAGATACATCTTACATGACAGCAGGTGAGAGAACGTGTGTGAAGGAGGAACCATCAAACACTTAGAAAACCATCAGATCTCACAAGAACTCACTCACTAGCACAAGAACAGCATGGGGAAAACTGCCCCGATGATCCAATAACCTCCCACTAGTTTCCTCCCTCAACACATGGGGATTATGAGGATTACAATTCGAGATGAGATTTGGGTGGGGACCCCAAGCCAAACCGTATCAAAGGCAAAACCCCAAGTGTTTATTTGCTTCCAATTCTTCAGAGCAGTCATCTTCATGGGTCACAGGCTTGTCTGTCTAATGCAGTGATTCTCAAAGGAGGGCATTTGGCAATGCTAGAGAAGTTTTTGGTGTGACAACTGGGATGAAGTGCTACTGGCCAGTAGAAGCCAGGGACATTGCTTGACATCTCATACGACAGCCTACCCTTTTGCAATAATAATAATAATAATAATAATAATAATAATAATATCTGGCCCAAAACATCAATACTGCGAGGGTTACAAATCTTGCTCTAACATTTCTGTGGATCCAAAATCCATCCATGGATTTAGCCTATGTATCAGTTTCCTGGACTGCCATAATAAACTGGGCAACAGAAATTTGTTCTCTCACAGTTCTAGAGGGCTACAAGTCAAAAATCAAAGCGTCACCAAGGCCATGCTCCCTTCAAAGGCTCTGAGGGGGATCCTTTCTTTCCTCACAGCTTCTGAGGGCCTCAGGCGTTCCTTGACTCATGGCAGTAAAATTGCAATCTCTGCCTTCGTCTTCACAAGGCCTTCCTCCCTGTGAGCCTCTCTGTCTTCTCCTCTTCTTGTAAGAACCCTAGTCAGGCCTGGACCAGCCCATTCCCCCTCCCCGCCGGCTCCATGAGGCCGACTGTGAGCAGCCGAACAGACAGGCGGGTGCACACAAGAACTGACAGGTGGACACATGGAGGGCAGCAGGCAGGCATGACTCGGGCTGGCACTCGAGGCCCTCCCTGGAGGGCTAGGGCAGGGCTCGGGTACTGGGAAGAATGGAGAGAGGACCTACTAACTAACTTTCCTGAGAGTGGTCAGAGAGTTCTTCAACAGAATTTTGATTTGGCCGCTACCTTGAAATCCAAGCCCTAAAAATGCCAACTTGTTTGGACTTAGAAGACGACCTGAATACATGATAAAAATTTAGAAAGAGATTCTGGTTTTCTTATTGTCCCCTTGGCGTACGCTTCTGGAATAATATTCACGAGGGTTTTGGATGACCTTCCAAACTTAGAAGACATCTGTATATCCTTGTGTTCATCAACAGTGGGAGACTCAGAGATGGATTTTGACTCTGAACTGGAAGATGATGACATAAAAAGTGATAATATTTTGGAGGGTTCCACAATGTTTGTGGCCTTCAAAGGAAATACAGAGGATAAATGTGCCCAATTTGTTACACATGGGTAACTTGTTTTAATTATTTTTTCCTTCTTGTTACTGTTTTTGAAATGTTTGCCCTACCTGGTTATCTTGAGTTTTACAAAGTAAGTTTGCTAAATTGGGGTCAAAAGGCTGATTTTAAGGGCAAAGGTGGAATTTTCAGATTTTTAAAATAGAAATGTTGTGTTTCTTTTATGTACATAGAAGAACTGAACATGATAAAGTATTGCTTATCATGGACAAAAAAGATCCCTAGTCATTGGATTTAGGAAAACCCTAAAACCAGGATGATTTCATCTCAAGATCCTTCACCAATTACATCTGCAAAAACCGTATTACCAAGTGAAGTCACATTCTAAAGTTCCAGGTTGATATAAATTTTAGAAGGATACTATCCAACCCACCACATCCTAGAAAAAAGTTACCTTTTAGCCGGAAGTAACAGCAGGGCTGTCAATGTTAAAAAACAAAACAAAACAAAACAAAAAAAATCCACTGCCTACCCTTAACTCCTAAATACCCAGGTTGCAGCTACAGAGAAGTGAAAATAAAGAAGTTGAATCTGGCATTTCTCAGTCTTCTGACACCAATTTTAGAGGCCAAAAAGGCAGGTTCATTCCCTTCCTGCACAAAACCTTTTTTCTTTCTTTCCATAATATCGTACAGAAAAATGAAGCCCAGAGGAACACCAGGGCCTGTGCAGAGTCCGTGGTATTGGTGGCAGTTTTAAAGCATAGCCACAGCTTCTTTGGCACTCCTATTGAAAGACAGAGCCCATCCCATGTCCCACCCTGTCTGGGTGAGCCTGTGTCTACCTCAACCAACAGAGTAGGGTGAAAATGATGCCGCAACTTTCACGACTGGGTCATAGATGGCTGTAAGAGTCCCATATTGTTCACTGGAACACTGGGTAAGTAGTCTGACCATTCTGAGGCAACTAGGGTGGAGAGACCACACGTATAGAGAGAAAGAGAGAAAGAAATGACTCATGAGTCCCCTGCCCCCAACTCAAATAATGCCAACCCTAGTGGTAGACATCTGAGTAAAAAATCTTCCAGAAGATTCCACCTCCCAGCCTTCACTCTTCCAGTTGATGCCCCAAACATCACAGAGCAGAGGCAAGCCATTCCTACTGTCACCTGTCCAAACCGCTGAGCCGTTGGCATTATTAAATGATTGCTGTTTTACAACATGAAGTTTGAGGGGGTTTGTTATACAACAATAGACAATTGAAAGTCTCCAACTCCATTTTCACCCAAGGAGGGCCTTTGTTAGATATTGATATGGTTTGACTTTGTGTCCCCAAGCAAGTCTCATCTTGAATTGTAATCCCCATAATCCCCACATGTCAAG